AGGGGTAAAAGTTGGTCATTTTCAAACCAAACTTTGTATTCTCTTCTCTGGCCTTTCTTGTGTTTCTAAAACCTGAACAAACTGGAAGCATATGTTAAAGGCTCCTGCCACCCTTAAGTAATTAACTTAGCAATTATGGTAATGACTTAGTCAACTTAGTTTATTTTGCAGAACAGCTACACACAGAAGAATGCTCTTATCTCTTAAGGGTACTCTGCCTCTTTGAATAATAGGTCAGCAACTAGCACTATGAATAGATTAGACAGATATTCAAAGCTGAGCACTGAAAAGAATCATCCTCTCTCATGGGTCACAGAGTCCTTCACAGATCTTGACTTCAGAGAAAATCTGAGTCTTTAATTACATTGATATGCTTAGAGTAGTATTGTTTTCTTGTTGTGGACACTTGAGTGGCTAGGGTATGCTTTTGTCCCATTTTCACATTCACCAGATGATTTCATTTAGGATTATGATGTCTTCTAAAGAGTGACACTGGTATCCCCTAAGGCACATACAGTTTACGGGGGTGAGGGGGTGAGGGGGACAACACATCTTATTCCGATATAGTTCTTTAATTTGCCTTTATCCACAAAAGTTGAACTGGAATGACTTTTGTTTGCAGACAAACTACCAGAGAGGAAAGTGATGTCGTCAAGCAGGCTGGGATAAGAGAGCAGCCTGACCAAAGCCATGAAACCCACTACAGGCTTCAGGAAAGGAAATTAAGTCACAGAAGAGATAAAATGCAACTTTAGATGTCTCATAAATTTTGTTCATAAATATTAGAATAAAACCAAATAAGAAAAGATATAAACAAAAGAAGTAGGCCAGAGGAAAGAAGCAGAAAGGAATAATGGTAAAGGCAGGGGGTAAAACTGTCTACCCAGTGAGAAATTTGACCAACGTCGGGTTTCACTACATGAACCTTCAGGGGGAGAACCAGGAACTAGAGCTGACACTGACAGCAGGAACAGAGATATTTACGAAGCCAGCGGCTCATTTCTAACAAAAAATGAAAGATTCAAGAGAGAACATGATATCTATGCATATTGCAATGTTAAAGACGTTGGCAAGTGTTTAGTAAAGCTAAAGAAATCCACAGTTTCAAGCGAGTGGACACCTGAAAGATCTGTGTTCATAAAAAGCAATGATCTGTCAGTATAATCAGTAAACCAATAAATTGTATTGGATTTGTGAAACACTGTTCACTTTGGTTAGCACACTCTAAAAGTCTGAGACAGATGACAGGAGTTTTTATACTCATGGAGGGGCAGCTAAGTGGGGTAACTAGATCTTCTGGTTCCTGACACAGTTGTTAAGGGAATCAGAAGCACTCTGAAATACTGTCAGACCGTAACACAGTATTAATAGATGGCTGCTCTTTAGGAAGGCCAAATGAAAGATAAAGGTGATGAGGTGGCACTGTACATTAGTGCTTTAGCAGGTTGGGAAGAAATAAAAAATGGTAGTGAGGACAAAATGGAGCATGGATCCAAAGCGTGTCAGGAAGGACTGCAAAAGATCTTAGTGTAGCAGTAAAAGAAAGTCTTTTAAACAGGCACAGGTTCATTTTGGAGTATGGAGTCACTATGCAAATAAAGGTGGAAGACAATAGAGAAATGACCCAAGAGTTACATTAACAAATCCTCTCCATTCAATAATGTTGGTTTTGATGTTCTGAAGGTACCATGTCATTTAAAGTACATAAGTGTATTGATGTGAAATGAAAACATAAAGATGAAAGCTGAACTCAGAATATATAGCCTGTTCAAAGAAAAGGGTAGAAAACAGCCTGAAGTACTGACATTACTACTGACACTTGGTATGGAAACCTGATGGCAGAGATATTAGCTCATCTATCACTTTAAGAATGGTACCATGTGTTTCTGGCCAATAGCAAAATAACAAATGTATGTAAGGAAAGTAATTTAACTATTAACTCACTAATTAGTCTGACTTCAACAGCATACAGGACCTTAGAACAATTTTTGAAGAAAAATTGTTGAAGAACAGAACTAGAAAGAGGGATAAAATGCAGTAGATACTCACCAAAGGGAGTCAGACTAATGATGTGACAGAAATAAATGTATGAGGCCAGGGAAATGTGATGTATCAATTGCTTGGAGATGTGGAAGCAATTGATATGGGAAATATAGGAAATTAGACAGGGTGGAGAAAATAGGTGTTATGGTAGAAACTTAGGCTAGGTGTCTAAGAACTAGATACAGAGGAGACTGCAATTGGTTGGGCTGAAGCACAAATGATTAGCCTAGGAAAAGGCCAGTGAACTGTCTCCAGTATAATTTTTGAAACTCTTTAATATTTCCCCTAATTTTACCTTATAAAGTAAAGTTGACTATTGAATGAATAAAATTTTCACATGGTATATTAAGCATCACTGAAGGGAGGAGAATGGATATTTATAATGTTTGAGGACAGAAGGGTGAAAAAAGTATGATAACATTTAATATTGAATACATAATCTAGATTTTATAGGGCCTAGTATGAAGAATTACTTGTATAAACGTCATACTTGTTAATTGCAAATGAGAATGAACAAGAATGACTCCTAAATATTGTCTATCACAATGGGTTATTGATCAGCACTGCAACATGGCTGGGAAGAGTACAGATTTGATCCAAGGTCTGAAAAACAAAGCATTGCTGGCTGGGAAAAAAAAAAAAAATACTAATGCCAGCCTAAAATCTTTTCTGGAATAAAATCCTGGCTAAGCACACTCAGGAAGTTAGAATTCAAACAAGAACAAGTGTAGGGATGAACTACCAACATCATAAAGCAACTGGAGCTTATACACTTCAAGAAGAATTTGAAAAAGTTTACTCAAATGACAGCTGTGAGGATGTGGTGTTATCTTACTAATGTTTTAAAATTAACATCAAAGAAGAAAAACTGTCATTTGAAGCTAAGAAACAATACTGGGAGAAGCATAAGGCAATATAATGGCCATGAATAAACATGGAGAAGTGGGAGACTGTTTTTCATATCAGAAAAACAGGGTCCAAAACTGCCTTGCAGTAACAAGATTTGAAACTCAGCTTTTTAAAACTGAAATTAAACCTACAGGAGATGACACGATGTAAAAAGGCAATGGAAGATGGATTAGTTCATCGCCTCAGGAGATCCCTTTCAGCTCTCTGTACTTGACTACGCAACATCTATCCTCACCTTTTGTAATTCTAAGGCATTCCAAAGCATGCAATCCAGGAGAAGTTTAGCTACACATCTCTTGGATTTCAGCTGTGGAGGGGGATGCTACACTGCTTAATGTAATATAAAATACCTTTTGTATGAAGCTATAACACATGTGTTCCACAGGTTTCCCTGATTTCCAGCTTGTTTCCAGGTGTAGATCATCTTATGCAGCATTAGGCAGAGCATAATCGCAAGCCTGATGGGATTCGACAATGCAGAGAGGCACGACAGCAATTAATAGTAAAAATACCAAGTTTTGAACAGTTTTATTCTTTTTAATTTGTGGTCTGTGTATTTCAGAGCCTGAATCAGCTGATGTACAAAGCTCATGGTAGAGATCAATTTTAAGCTTTAGCCAGCTTTCCTTGAAGGAATAAACTCCCAAGGTTCAGAGGAGTTTTCATGAGCAGCGAGAATGGTCCGTCTTGAAACTTTTATCAGCTTTAAGCTATTTAGCACTTGCAGACTGCACTGTACACATGCTGAAGTGACAGATATGGCATGCAAATTACACGAAACTGCTGACCAAGGAAGTTTAACATACATAGATTAAGGAAAAATAACTTTGTTTTAGTTTGATTATTTCCACTAATTTAATCTTCCAAAAAGACAACTAAAGTTCAGAGATAAGAAACTGCATTACACAAGGAAGAGCAAACTATATGTTTATTAGACATTGGTGTAAAATTTGAAATTTAGCCTGGGGAATGAATGTTCGTCATCTCAAATAGTGATACATTTTTATTTTGGTATGACATATTCATTTGACCTTCATCCTGTGAGTTTCCTTAGAGTGCAACCAGCTAGCTGTTATTCCCGATTTGACCTTGACAATCCGAGAGCCCGTGCAGGCTACCTTTAACTTCTGTGACTTTCCCATGAACTTCTAAATGTTCAGGCGTTCTTAGTAACCTGCCCTAACTCGGTATTTCATATTTACACAAACACTCAAATAACACAATTTGCCAGCTGTTGAGAGAAAGGAATCAAACTTTAAAAAGAGAGAGAGAGAGAAAAATAATGCTGCATTTGTTAATTTTGCAAGATTAATTTCAGCCAGCCTCAAGAAACATAAATGAAATCAGGAAAATCCCTGTTAGTTCTGCCTGTCCTTACTGCATAAATCCCCTGTTTTTTCTTATACAGGATGACCCTCAATGACTGAAGCCTGGACTGAAAAAACAGCTGCATTGTACTGCAGACTCAAATCCTGCTACAGCTATAAGCTTTAGGATTTAAACATGAACCCAACAGGATTATGCAGAAGGCCAGTATAATACTTAGTGTGAATTAAAGGTATGAGGAAAGGCACATTTCTTTTGGGGTAAGCTACTTTTTTTTTCTTTCTCATTTAAATAGCCCAATTATTATCTCAGCTGTGCTGAGCCTTTTTAAATACTAAGCAGCAATAATTTTCTGTAATGTGAAGAACTATGTATGACAGCCTTCTTAAAATCAAATATATTCCACAATAAACTAAAGGTATTTCAACCCACTGCAGTTGCTTATTACTTCAGGATGCATGCTCTTTTTCTTTATCTTAAATCATGTACTTTACTCACTAATCTTTGCAAGCTTGTGACTAAGTGCTACTAAACAATGCAGTTTTCATTTTTTCACTTTCCTTAGGAGAGGTAATAATCCCTCAGAACCAGAAAAGAAAAGATTGGGCCACCAGTAATAATAGTACTGATAAAACAGTGCAGCAGAATAAAAAATTAAGGATCATTAAGCAATTTCCCTCAGCAATCTGAAGATACTGGCATTTTCTCACGTATTGCCTTACCTTGAATGTGAATAATTCGCTCATGCTCCAGACTTGAGTTGTCAGGGTGAGGTTCAGCCCAGCAGATAGAAATCAGCACCAGAAAAAGTAGACTCTTCATCTTTACAGTCAAAAGAATCTTCTTCACTGTAAGGGCATCACATACAAGGAGGCTTGTGAATTTTTTGAAACCTTTACAGTGTTGCACTGCTCAACTTATTACAGCAATGATCTTATGAGGGATCTGTAATACATTTAACCCACTCAGCTGAAAAAGTTACAGTCGCTAGTAATTTTTTAGGCATTCATACTGGACCTTTTTTATCATGGACTTTCATTAAATAAAACTGGTAATCCATATTTAAGTCTGCCTATGCAGAAATACAACATGAAAAATAAAAGCACACTCACAAATATCCACAAACCAAACTCCTTGCAAGATCATATGGAAGCAATACCTGTGTTTCCAAAACTGTTCTAGTGTACTTTTGCTTTTCCAGCCCTACTCTAGATCTGGTCTGCAAATACAGTTAAAACCATCAAAGCTATCACTGTATCTATATCCACTGCATGATGCAATCTGCTGGTGATAGATTTTCAAGATTAAAACAGTATTCTCATAGGTTTTGGCATTTCAATCAAGGCTGCAAGTTAACTTAGCAGTCAGGGTGGTAAGTTTGCTTCAGCTAAGTAGTAAAGATGACAAAACATTTCTTAGGCTGACTAGAAAGACCTATTTTATTTCAGATCCACTTACCATTTTAAAAGATGCCTAAATACACAATGAAATGTTCAAAACCATGCACAAAGTAGGTTAGAGTTGTATATGCTACCACTGCAGCTGCCCTGATTGATTTTTCATTCATTTCTACCTAGAATGCTGACGCACTAACATAGTGTGCCAGGTAGGGTCTCTGCAGTCAGCAGAGCTGAGTGCTGCTGCAGGGAAAATCTCTGCCAGCCTCTGAGTAGTAATTAGGCAAATGAAGACCTGAAATAGAAAAGGAGGCATAAAATGCAAGAGGCTTTATGTAGAGGGTTCAGGCTGCCGTGTGTTTTATAGCTATAATTTTTATGACTCTGATTTCTTGAAATAAAATATAGCTATTTCCCAACTTTGCCTTTCAAGAGACTAGGATTTTTTCCCCAGTCACCAAATAGTGGCAGCATTATTAATAAGCTTTCTCTCTAATGCAGGGAGAAAAGAATTTTTTCTCCTTTTTGTCTGTCACAGCTTGACACACATCAAAGTTACAGGGTTACAGGGTACTCTCGGTCAGAACCTGGGTGGACATCCAAGCTTTGCAAACAGTCCCTGTCCCCAAATAGACTCAAACACCTATGTGTTTCAAGTCTAAATCCAAATATTGTAATCCTAACCAACCCCTTGTACAGACTAAAATGCAGAAATGCTATTGCCCTTTTTTTAGAACAGAACATGCACGTTACTTGCCTGCCCTTCCATTTCTTCAAAGCGAGTTTGGGTGGGAGTTCAAAGCCAATTCAGCATCCCTTACTCCTTACTGTGAGTGCCTAGAGGTAGGACAAGTGCTCGCTGCACACTATTTTCCAGGTGGTCCACACTCAGTAACTCAAGACTCTCCGGCCACTCCCTCTTTCCTGGAAAGCTTGGCAGGCTGATGACCTCCACTCCGGAGAGCAAGGACAGATGTGGCTCCCTCTAGAGCGCATCAGCCCCAGCCTGGGCTGACCGGAGGGGTCACACGAGTGTCTTTCCCTCACAAATCCCACACCGGGCACCCCATGTATTTCCTCTGAAGGAAAAATGCTTCAGGCTTGGGGTTTTGGCTTTTTGGCTGTTGAGCATCAACTGACTTTTTTTTTTTTGTTTATTGGTGGGGGAGAGTTATTGATTTAGAGATAGTCTGGTTAACAAAGAAGTTTTCATTTTGAAGGCAAAGTTTAAGGGGTATTCCCACCTCAATCTGCAGTTTAGAGTCTACACTGGATGCAAAACCCCCTGAAGGCAGTGAGGGGGGGTAAAGCCCACAGGGGCTCTGCAGTTATTAACACTTTGCTTCTACCTCTTGCTGCAGACCTGCTGTTTTCCATGGCATTAATGAAAAGAAACAACCACATAACAAGATGGTAGGTAGTACTACCCTTTTGGGACCCATCTCCCCCAAAACTCTGTGTGCACAAGGACTGGGGCTCCATCATGGAATAAGAAAGATTTACCTGCTGGTTACATGGATGAAGAACTCCACATATGCTCTCCTACCTTTTCAAGGTCGCCCTAATAGGGTGGGGGAAAGTCCATGTAGCATCATTAGGTGATGGTTGCCAGAAAGACTAGTTTCAGGATTAGACTGGTGCACTGAGGGGGCAGGATACACCTTTTAGAGATATTTGTTTATACCATCAAGCAAATATCATGTCACTTTACAGAGTTTATGTGACACCATCACACAGGCAGGATGAGAGGCAGGTCAATGATGGACTTGGGAGATCTGCTCTTCCTTTTCCTCAGTTTCCTGGATGCAGCTGAACAATCTCACATGTCACTTGCCACAGACATGGTACAAAATCAACCTTAAGGCTACAGATTGGCATGGGTTTTTTTGAGAAGTATACCCAAGACGGTGGTGCTTTAGCTTTGTTAATAGGCAAAATTTACAGTAGCTGGGTTTCTGGTTTTCCCTAATTGCCACAGACAGAAAGGGTAACCTAATGTGTTCATTGTGTGTGCAGGAACAGACACACAAATAACATGTGTGTCTACGTCTGTGCTCTCTTTGATTCTGGTAATGTTCATCTGCACCACTAAAGTGTGTTGGACTGCACAAAACTAGCAAGAACTTAAAAACTATTTCCCAGGGGAACAAATGCCTGGTCGATGTTTTAGAAAATGTACGCGTATCATATCTTTGCTAAACTCACCAGATCCTTCATACTTGTGGCCAACCAACTGAGAGTAAAGTTTTAGCTGGGCAGAAGCATCCCATTGGGGGCCATTTCAACCCTCCATTCCAACCTGAACAGCTTTAAGGCTGGTCCCTTTTATTGCCACATACAGTGGCAGCTGAGAAAATGTGGGTATCTGAAGTCAGGAATACCCCGACCTCGTACCACTCTCCTCCTGGGATTCCCCGGGATGGGAGCTGTGGCATCAAGCCAGAGCAGTGCAAAGCAATGTTATCAGGCCAAGAATCTGACCCCTGGTGTTTTGTAGGTTATCCAAAAAGCAGCTAGCCAGAAGAATTCACATCCTCCACTCTAGCCAAAGCAATAGAAGTCAGACTCCATTTCTGCAGCAGCTTATGAAGACCTCAGGGGAGAAATGATAGGTGTGGATGTTTCCATATTATAATTAATAAAATCTTGGCTAGGAGTCAGTGAATTTTCAGTAAGAAATGGTAATGATTAGTCATACTCAAGAAATTCGCACTGGTTTCAATTACTGCAGTTTATGAATCTGCTATCTATCTGGACAGGGACACAAAAAAGCTGAAAACCAGTTTTTGAAGGGAGAGCTCAAGGCTCAGGGAAGTGGTCAAGGTGACTGTACGTTCAGTTTTTAAATTCTCAAGAACTGTTCATTCTTAGATACAATTAGAAATTCTGATATTAATCACTGTTTTTTTCATCCTCCCCCAGCCATAATTCATCTACTACTGGCAAATCTAAAAGGCTATAAAGCACCAATGTTTGTATTTTAATATAATATTCTGAAAATTAACAGAATGCCTCCAAGTAATTCAACTGCATAAGTAACGAACATTTCTCTGAAGAACAGAGTACTGGAAAATAATGTCACATACCAATCTCTGTTTTTAATAAAATATGTCTTATGTATTACTGCAACTACTTTCTAGCTACAGAACATGAGACCATCCACTGTGTGAGGACAAAGGTCCACCTAGTTCAATATTCTCTCTCTGACAGTAGTCAAAACCCTGGGGAATGCCTTTGTTAACAGGAATTAATTTTTGTCTTGTATTAAGCCATGATGATGTCCTATATCAAATATTTGTTTCCTTGAGAAGACTTGTGGAAGCCTGAACTCACAATGGCCCAAGAGCATATGGTAATACAACCACAATCTCCTGTGATCCAGCTGCTGACACCGTCATCCTCGTAAGACAGGTGCTTGAACCAGGTTTTACCTAACTCATGCAAAAATTGGGCTGCTTTTGCAGAAGCATCCCTGCTGCTTTGGATCTTGCAGCACTGTGATTCTCTCACAGCTACCCCGATATCCACCTTACCCTCAGAGAAGAGGGTATTGCAACAACATATTATGCCATCTTCTCATGTGTGTAATTTCATGGTGCAAAGAAGGTTTAGGAGAAGAGAAGGCCAAAAGCAGATATAGGTGGAAGAAGGAGGTGAGGTACAAGAGCACAAGGACAGAGAGAAAACCAAACTCCTAGGGCAGACACAGGAGACTTCTTCATAAAATGCTCTGTCTTTCTGTGGAGTTTGCTATTTTTAATACAGTGAGACTCAGCAATTAAAGGTAGTAATCAATGATATCTAAAACAGGTAACGGAATCAGTAAGATCAGTCTCAATAATTGGGGACTGGAATAGCCCCCAAAACTGTGGACTATTGACATCTGTGGGCAAACCTATTGTGCAATATAAATATTTACAGGTCGCCTCTCTGTGGAGCTCTGTTCCATCTGAGAATTGGTGCTAAGCACTAGGGAGGTACCTACTGATGAAACAGAATTTATGTTTTTTCAGGGAGAGGGCGTCAGCTGCAGTAACTGAGAGTCCCTCATCTTTAGACACTGCTGGTAGATCATCGACTAGGCAGAAGACCAGACTAAGCAGTACTCACACACTCTCTTCAGTAGCCTTTCCTAAACCAGGGAAGCTGGAGCAGAGTACTTTGATCTAGCTGATTAGACAGATTTCTGGTGTCAAATTACTAGCCCAAGTCTCCAAAAGATCATATCTTATATATATATATGTATAGATACCTAGGTTTAGGCAACTGAATCAAGCCATAAGGATGGGCTTCAGTTCTGGGTTGAGGACACCTAAGTTATTGTGTCTATATGTAAAATGTTTACATTTCACTTAGGAGTCCAAGCTATTGTTACAGTCAGTTTATACCTAGCCAATGTGGTTGTGGTCAGTGGAAGGAAGATGTGTGTTTGGTTGACCTGGGATGC